GGAGGGATGAAGGATTGTGGATTGTGTATGGGGTGGATGTCCCTAATAGGGCGATGTGGTGAGGTGATAAGGAAGAGAACGGGGATCCCTCTCTTGCATATCATCTGCACTACCGGATGAACCGCTGAACGGGTGGGAGGGGACCACTCTCACTGGTGCCAGCCGTATTACTCGATTATACCATCGCCGATTTTCTAGAATTTTTTTTGGGAGTTATGCTATTTTTTAAAGCTCTGTATCGGCCTCCCTATCTCTTGCACCGTTTTTCTCTCTTGCTCTCTCGCTCTCTCTCTCCTTCTCTCTCTATCTCTCTCCTCTCTCTCTCTCTCTCTCTCTCTCTCTCTCCCAGTTTTTGTCTATCTCAATGTCCGTCGCACTCGCCAATTTGAACGACGATAAATTTTTAGGATTTCTGCAGTTATGCTAATTTTTATCTCTCTCTCGCTCTCTCTCTCTCTCTCGATATACAGCCAACAATGCCGTAGTCATACCTTACGCTAAAATCTCCTTAAAGACCCATCAACGCCCGCCGTTTTAAGCACTCATCCGAATAATCAGATTCTAACCAAGCCGCTAACCTATTCTTTGTATCTGATGTGACCCATCGACCTTGATGACCACACTTCCTGTGCCCATCCTTTGGACGCAGGCGATGGCCGGCTAGGTCGCATCTACTCGCTGATCCACCACACTTTATCGACTTTGATTATCGGCTCCAGTTGTGCGTTGGAGGCTTTCCCGCTTGTGATTTTGGGTGTTCTTGGTCCAGCTTCTGCAGAATTTTTTCCTCAATCGAGATAATTTTTAGAGGCTGTGGAGTTGCCCTAAAATCTGACAACGCTTTGGCTTTTTCTGTTCTGGGAATCTCATTATAGATATTAAGGCAAAATATACGCTAAGATCCCTGGTGTAAAAACGCGCAATATCGATGAAATAACCCATGAACACGTAACTCGAAATCTGCGAGATCCGTCTTTGCAAGTCGCCTAGCTTTCTTTCTGATTCCGGGGTTTTTTGGCGCCTAAAGCTCTATCAGGAATTTTGATAGGGACTTAACAGCCTGATTTTTATTGACTTTCGAGGTTGAAGTACCGGCTAAGGCGCAACAAAAATCGATAAATTTTGTTTTGTAATATGCCCGGCAAATCCATCGCCGGACCATAGTGTCGAAGAGGAATCGACAAACATTGGTGTGTCTCTAAAGGGATGGGAATAGGGGGTTGGAACGGGTGGGATGGCTCTAGCTATGGAGGGTCGGATATGGGATTCGGTTGCAAATGGTGTGCATACATAGACACTCGGCATGAGACACGCTTCCAAGTCAAGGGGACACTTTCACACCAATTCCATGACGCGACAAATTCACCAGCTTAAAAATGTTATTTTCTCTTTGTTTGTTCTTAAATTGTAGTTGCTATCATGCCTAGGAAGTCCTAGCATCTTTGAGGTATCGAACCTCCTTAAATTAAATTTTGTAAGGCTTTGGAAGAGCCTAGCTCTTGCTATCAAGTTGTCGAAATTAATTTTGTGGCTCTTTTTGATTGAATTTCGATATAGGCTTTCATCAATACATCAATTTTTGTTGTCTGATTGTGTTTATTGCCGAGCCAATAGTACCCTCTAAAGGAACAGTGAATACTAAATAACATCCCCTTTTGACCCCTTTGACCATCGGCCCGGTTGACCCGGCCAGGTGTCCCTACATTCACCTTCTTTCCCCCACGGCCAGACCCAATTTGTCGACTGTCACCAATTGCAACAACTGTTGACACACTCTAGTGCCCCAAAAAACTTGGTTTTATCGGCGTTTAATTTGTTCTTTGGAATTTTATTATTGCTGAGATCCTTTGTTTTCAAAAAATGCGGACAAATTCAGTTATTTTCTGGTCAGTTCTTCCACGTTTTTCAGCTCTGTTTCAAGGCGCGTGTGGAGTTTTTTTTTATGTGACGTAACTCATTCGATAGAGCTGGAAATTCTGATTAAATCCCTTCCTTAAAAAATGCCGAACGGCTATGGTTTTCAAAAAAATGCATTGAAGGGTCGATATTTCCTGGCTCGCCCTTAGCAAAATGTCAACTTTGAGAAACGTTCTTGAAACATAGGAGCGGTTCAACAGTTTTTGAAAAATTGCATTTGTTTAGAAACTCAGGCTCTATCTAAAGAGCTTGTCACCCAAGTTGTTCTCTTGCTCAATCTTTACTTACTCAATTTTGCTTAGCTTTTTCGTCCTTTCCATACCTTATGTTTTTTCTCACCTATAGGCCGCTGTGGATGCGGGCCCTTGGACTATTGTCCATATTAATATGGACGATAGCAATCTCAAATGGGTATCCGCTGGCCGGAGAGGTCGCTCACGAGACGGGAGGTATAGTGTTGCCGGTTTGTCTAAAAATTACTTTTACAGATTGCAATTCCCTACAATGAGGAAGCCCCGGAACCGTCCCCACATTTGAGGAGGAGCTCGAGATTGTCGAAAATATTATAATAGGTTGGTGGTTTAGGGTGGGTTTTAAAGAATTATGGGTTTGAATGGATATCCGGGATTTTTCTTCATTTCTTCATTATATATATCATCTTCTTTTGCTCCGATTTTCGTCTTTCCTTGTCCTGTTGTACCTGCTTTGATACTCACAGTTTATGGTATGTCTCTTGAACTTCGCTATTTTTATCGACGCTTATTAAAGAACCAGGCAAGATATAGCTATGGATTTCATGGCTATAGAGCGCAACACGCAACGCGCCCGCGACGCGATGTTGTTGTTAGTGGGGACAAGCAGAGTTGCTTTAGGAAAGGGGCAGCCTAGCGGCATTTCTTTTGGATAGTAGCACCTAGCAGAGATTTTTTAGGAAAAGGCAGGCTAGCAGAAAGTCTTTCTAAACGGCAGGCCAGCAAGGCTTCTTTAAGAAAGGTCAAGCTCCAAAGGGTTTTTGGGCAAGAGCGAGCTAGCAAAGATGTTTAGGGAAGCAGTGAGCAGATTCTCTAAATATGGCGATCTGGCCAAGATTCTTTTGGAAAGGGCAAGCTAGGAAAGATTCGTGCGGAAAAGCCAGGCAGTGAAGGTTATTCCATTACGCGACGTAATGACACCCCGATGTTTGGAAAATCACGGGCGAATGACAATCCATAGCAAATCCATGACCAAAAAATCGATAACCATGCCTTGCTCGTCCCTTTAAGCTTATTTCCAAGACTTTTCTCACTTATTTCGTAAGGCACCCTCAAACACCCCCCAGAACCGTATAATCAATGCCCACACCCCGGTCATATTTCATACGATTTGTTGATAGCATCTTCGCGTACACCCCAAATAGGTGACACCGTTTCCGTTCGGGGGGTCGAAGAGGAGGAGTGCATTATCATTCCCCGTCGACCATCTCCACCTCCCACGGTTTAGCAATCCCCTCGAAAATATGCGAGCCGGCCGAGAATTATGGGGGCACGCCTGGCACGCGTCCTGTCACCGGAGAGGGTTTTTAAAGGGACGGTGACACCTGGGAGATGGATATTTTAAGTTGCCCGTTACCTCGTAGATCCTTAGCCTCCTAAAGCGTTATATTTAAAGCTAGCTTGCTCAAAGGATGCCGAAAATGAAGCTCCACGGCTGGAGAAGGGGTTAACAATTAATTTCAGCCCAAAATAGAGCGTTTTGAAAAGGACCAGCAGAAAACCCCAAGGAAACGTCACCTAATCAACTGATCGAAGTATCGGAATTTTGCTTAAAAATTCCGCGATTTCCATGGACGCCCCTTTAGCTCCTAGCCGCCCTCAAGAAGTACGGCTCAATGAGCCCCCGTCAAGCGCCCCAAAACCCTGATCTCCTCCGGGTCTCCGAACGGCTATTTGCATAGATGGCGTTTTGGGTGGCTGAAGTGATATGCAGATGAGGGCCCCGATCCCCCCGCAGGGTCTGGCTTCTCGATATTTGCGGGTTCTTCCCCGCATGAAGTGAAGAGGAGGAGCCGTTCGTGTCGATTGACGGCTGGTGTGAAATCTGGGCTCAAGTGCCCTCCGGCCTAGACCGACCACCCAGACCCCAGGTAAACCCAGATCGTTGGCCTATTGACTGTACGATGCGGGGATGGATTGTCGGATTAGAGGGATAATGACGGCCCGGGTAAATGCGGTCCTAGTGCAAAATTGGCAAACGCCGTCTAAAAACTTGGGGAAAGGGCATGCTGAGAGGTAAGAGTGAAAGCGAGGATAGAGAGACCGAGTGCGAGAGAGACAGAGTGTGTGGAGTGAGAAAGAGTAGAAAGGAATCTAGTACCATGACTTGCCGGTCCCTTGAAAGCTCGATGGTCGCATTACGGCAAAAACGAGGGGCGTTCAAGGGGTGATACGTAGTTCAAGGCGTACGTCACGAGGCGTGGTGGCTGTAAACCAAAGCATCTACCTAAGTTATGGCCGGCATTCGGATTCGGCTTAGTCTTAGCTTCAGGATAGGCTTAGGTTTAGCTCGACTTTGGGCTGTCACTTAGGTTTCTGTATGGGCTTAAGTCTACGGATAAGCTTAGGCTTGGCTGACGTGTAGGGAGAAGCTTAAGCTTTATTTGAGGGCTTATTTTACGTATGCTTGGATTTTGACCAGGTTTAGATATGTATAGCTTACTGTTAGACGTAGACTTAGAATCAAGCGTAGGCCGGTGGTGGCTAGGCTGTTTAGCAATTTCCTGGATGATTATAGTTAAGCCAATTTTTGGGCTATTTTGGTCGATTTACTCATCATTTTACTCGCCCCTCGATACCTCCCAAATTGACAAAAAGAACTCCGAAGAAAGGTGGAATTTCGATTGCACGGCGGAGCGAGATAGTGAGAGGGAGAGAGATATAATGGAGAGTGCAAGAGAACCCAGAGAAAACGGCGCACACAGTGGCCAAACAGTCTGTAAGAGCCGTCCCTTGGGCTTCTCCCCACCCGCCCCCTCCCACCATTCCTTCGGTCCCCCACCTACCCTCCCTAAAGTCGCCCCAATACCGTAGTCCGGCGGTCCGATCGAGATGTTGTCGCTGTTCGCGGCTCTCTCGCTCACCGTCGTCTACCGGGTTGACGCTAAATCTGCCGGGATTACCGTATTCCAGCGAGCTACGACACCCTGGATCTGTCAGATTCCTCAATACTTCGAAGCATTTGGTGGAAGGGTTGAGCATATTTTGCAGGTATTCCGGGCGATCACCGGGCTACCGTACTGCAATACCGGTTTGTGACGAACAGGTGGAAATGGCTGGCTCTCGATTTTGGTTTTGGGGAGCTTTAAATGGACTGGGAAGCGAAATTCCCAATTTCCGTAGTCTGTTCTCGGCACTGTTTCAACTTTGATTTGTTAGATTGATCTCTGAACTAGCTGCTTCCAAACTTTTTTGGATGCTTTTAAACGCACTTGGATGTGGAGCTCTAGAGCTACTAAAAGTAGACTTTTTAAGAAACTGACCTTCTCCACGCTTTTCGAATTTTAAAGGGACTGAGAAGTCAAATTTTTGCTAGATGGTGATCACCAATATCGCATTTTTCATTTTGATCAAAAACGACATTTTCTGGCTGTTCACCGAATTTTTCGCTTAAATCAACGGATCGAATCGATTTTTGCGTTTTTTGGTCTGTCTTGTTTTTCAGAACTACTTTTTGAGGTTGAGAGTTCATCCTAAATTCTCAGGACAAGCGGTTACACTTTCCCTTCTTATTTTTTCTTGTTCTTCTTCGGCTTCTTCCACTACCTGACCCGGTTAGCCGTCTGTTTTCCCTTCGGCTTTATTTTGCACACCGAGGCAATGCGCCCGGCCAGGCTTTTCGGCGAGTAGGGGGCAAAAATTGGGGCTGGAATTTAGCTCTAGTTATTATATGGCGACTACGTAATGCTACTCCGAGCGCTGAAAATTGTTGACTTGACTAGCCAAACCCCGCTGAACGGTTTGAATCGGATGCCTGCGTAGCCATAGCGAATCGTTGGAGGTGAACAGTAGACGTATACTAAATTTCCAAAGTCTCGAGAAGCTCGCGGGTAGTGCCTTCCAAGTCCCTTTAAGATGCGTTAGGCTTTTAAATCTCCGTTTACACACACTACGTGACATCCCCGAACGGCTCGAAGTCGTTGCCAGCCCCTTGCCCATGGTCCGAGCCCAGGACCCAGGGTGAGATGTTTTTATATGTATGTGTGTGTGCGTGTTTGTGTGTGCAGTGAGTGTGGTGGAAAGAGATTGTGTAAGTGGCTGTGGCCTGGCCTGGGCTTAGACGACTGACGAAGAAGAAGTGAAGAACTGACTGGGGGTGGAGGGGCCTCTTTTCTGTCGGCAAATACCCCTCAGCCATCCCTCGTCGGGGCGAATGGATGGAATGGAATGGATGGAGGATGGCTTAAGGTTGGCTGAGGAACATGCATTAAGGGTATCAAAATTAGTCGTTTTTAACACCTAGGAAAGAGAAGATTCTAAAGGGACCGGCAAAGCCATGATTATGAATTTTTTTGCCTTGGAATTTACGGATCTTGCCCACCCAAAAACGTTTCATTAAAAAGCACCGGAAGTCGTGACCATGGTTTGTTCAAAAATTTTCTGTAACCGCAACACGCGACGAGCACTTCTGGGCCACGGAGAACGGCCACATCAGTTACGCAATGTAAAAGCGGTCACGTGCTGGCACTTCCATTTCGTAATCGATTATGATCCGGACAAATCTACAGCCAAAAATCCGACTTGTGCCTTACCGGTCCCCTTAAGTGTACCTAACAGTATAATTTTAAAGTGCACCTAGTGAGAACCCCTGGAAGTCAAGCCAATCAAAAAAATTCCATAATTCCCGTAAACAGAGCCAGTCATTTCCTGCCGTAACTGAATCCACCGCTCATTCCTAATTGGACCCTGTAGATACCACAAGGAATTGGGTACCTTCGGCCATGTCGACGTCTATTCGGATACGGTAGACGCGCGGATACGAAAAGCCTTCGACCAGGCGATCAGGGTCGGAAAAGATTGGAACGTTTGCCGTGTCGCCGGATGGATATGAGATGCATGTCATTAAAGGTATCCGGTTCTGGGATTTCTGACCAATTCCGAAGGTCATATCATGTCGTAATTGGATTTTCTTGATTATCGCAAGTTTTGTTGTCGGTATTTTCTCAAATTTCGATATCCAATCCTTTATTTCTTTGCAAATTACCCTCCTCTCACGCTCTTCCTCTCACTCTCACTCCTTCCATTTGGCTCTCTTGCTCTATCTTCCCCTCTCTCTCTCCCTCTCTCTCTCTCCCCTGAAAATTCAAATTCATCCCGGGTATCCATTCAATAATCCATGGTGTTCCACACTTTGCTGAAAAACCCTCCAGGCCACCAACGCACTGACAAACTTTTGTGTCGGTATGGCCCCCCCAAAATTGAGCACAAAGGTGGCCCGCGACGACGACTCGGCAAACAGAGTTGCCCCCCACGATATTATAATCGGGCGGCCGCCCTTCGGATTCTACACAAACACAAACACAACAGAAATCAGAAGGGTTCGAAATGTCGAAAATACCACAAAAAATTAAAAGTATCTAAAAACTGAAAAATGTCATTTTAGCCTCCAGCACTTCATGCAACCCGGAAGAATTTTCGTGCGCTGATGGAAGCTGTATTGAGGCGAAGAGGTGAGGCATTTTGTTGAAAAGGTTGATCTACTGCTCTTTCTCTTTCTGGTGCTCAATTGGTTCTCTCTTTCTGCTGCTCTCTCACTTTATTGCTCACTGCCGCTCCCTCTCTCGCTCTTATCCCCCCTCTCTTTGATGTTGTCTCTCTCTAACACTCCATCGCGCTCCTGCTCTCCCGCTTTCTTGCTCACTATCGCTTTCTCTACCTCTCGCTGTCTTCGTATCCCTCCTGCTATCTCGCTGCCTTGCTTACTCTCTATCTCCCTCTCTCTCCCTATCACCCTCTCACTTTCTCGCTCTCGCTGTGTGTGTCTCTCGCTCTCCTTCTCGCTAGATCGCATTACGCAATGTAAATCCGTCAAGAAAGGCCAAATCGATTTTCCAGACGCTGCGACGGCCACGCCGATTGCGCCGACCATTCCGATGAGCGGTCCCGCCATGGTAATTACCTAAATTGGAATATTGAGGTTTTCTTTCAGCGAAATGCAACCGCCATGCGCCCATCATCTTCCAAAAGCAGAAGACGATCCGCGTGCGGCCCGGCGGACAGCTCGTCCTCGCCGCCGTCATCGACATGGTGCCCCACGATCGACAGGTACTACAGAGGCTTCTTAAATACCAGTATAAAGACGTATAATTCGGAAGTTAAAATATTTATATTTATTAACCGTTCTATCCGTTATTTTCTAGGTAGTCTGGTCCCGCACGACCACATCCTCGGCCAGGGTGCCCTGACGACCACCGAAGACTCGCGAATCCACGTATATCAGTAAGTTTTAGCTTTAGTTTTTTTGGCTTTAGGAGCTAAATTAGCTAAGTTATTTTTTTACAGTAACCACGACGAATACTCGCTACACATCGACTATATGAATCGACAGGATGAGGGCGAATATCTTGTAACTGTGGAGGGGATGGGCGTTGAGGCCAAGTAAATGCTTGTACAGTCGTTTCTCCCTCGGTTTCTCGGTTTTCGTTCTTCCTCTGTCTCTCTCTCTCTTTCTCTCTCTCTCTATCTCTCTCTCTCTCTCTCTCTCTCTCTCTCTAGCTTTTTCTTGCTTTGGATAAGGTTAGCAGCAGATATCCCATTTACTAGGTTCCACGTCGAAATCTCGTCCGAACATCTCCCAGAACAAACCGGGGGCTGCCCGGATGGAGAGCGAGCTTGCAAGTAAGAAAAACCTTGGAATCAAGCCTCTACGCTTTAGGTCTGGTCACTGCATCCCGACGCACCAATTCTGCGACCGCGAACGGCAATGCCCCGATGGGGACGATAAGCACGATTGTCCAAGTGAGTTTAAGCGTTTTATCTGTTAAGCTGTGAATCGAATGGTGCCATCACGGCTAACGTTAACGCGCAATTATTCTTAAACGTTGGAAAATTAGTCTGGTTTGGGCGGGGAGCTCCGGGTTGGAAGCTAAGAGCCAGGAGCTCGGAGCCAACAGCCCAATTCATAACATCCATTTATATTTATTTTTTTCAGCCGTCATCTGCGCCCGCAACGAGCTCCGCTGTGCTGTTGACAACGTCTGTATGCCTTTGACCGTCCGATGCGATGGGTGGAAGGATTGTGCGGATGGAACTGATGAATTGGTGAGTACATGCTTTTTAATTTTCGGGATCTGGACCGTAACGCGTCCCAGAGTGATACAATAGGCGTCCAGCCGCGCAGCGATTAGGCGCCTGCCGCGCAACCGCACCGCGCTCAAATGACTCGTAGTGAAAAAGCGGATATTAACATTTTCAGGCTTGCCCCGCTACTAAAGCTGTCAAGGTTCCCGGCGCTAAGTCGGTTGCCTCCAAGCCTACTGTAACCTGCGCTGATGGTTCTGCTCCGGAATATTCGCTGTAAGTTGAAAAATATTTTGGAAAAATTATGATTCTTATATTGGCAAAAATATAATATATTTTTATATATAAACAAAAAATTGGCTTAAAATGTTTTGTTTTGTTCCAAATTTTGAAAATGCTGTTTCCAAGCATCTTCAGAAAAATGAATCATTCGAAAATTAGAATTTAAAAAGTTGGCCAAAATTTGTTTTTTTTCAGTGTTTGTTTTTTCATGACTCACCCGCCCTCTTAGCGCACCATTTTCCGGCCCCGGAAAAATATGCTAAGTTCCATAATCCTCCCCGGGCGCCCAAAATTTGTTTGCGGGACGCTCCAACGGCTGCTACCCCCACCAGATTATAGCCCCCTAAAATTTGGGGACCCTGGGGCTAGGTGAGCCACTTGAGGCCCCGAAGCTCACCATCGCACCCCTAGGCGAAGGGGGGTGAAAGCATATACAAATGTGGATCTTTCGGAGGTGGGGAGGTGGAAAAACGCGAAATGGACCATTTTAAAGGTGCCGGAAAAACATGAAAACCGCGTATGCTGTCGGTTATGGATTCTCTATGGATTTTACCCGATCGCGACGCGTAACGCGCACGCTGCGTCGCACCTTTTACGCGGAACGACATAAAGATTCGATCGCGTTGCGCGTCGCGGTGCTGGTAAAGTAAATGGGAAGCACTCAGTGAGATAAGAAGGTCGAGGCGTGCTTGCTCAGTCCCTTCAAAGAAACATTCACCTCCGGATTTTTATGGAAATCGGTCTACGCCATAGCAGGGTCTGTTTTCTAAAGCGTGGATGTGACCCCCCGAGGGGTGAGGAGTCCCTGTCTGTCCCAGTCTCGATCCCATCGACCTGTTGGCTCCCATTGGTTTTGTGTTCGCTTGCCGCGCACAGGGCCCGGAGTTCGAACCGGACGAAACTAGGAGTTTTTGCTTTTTCATAAAAGCTCAGTGATATCCCGAAAACACCATTTTAGGCACGGCTCGACTCGCTGCTGGGCGAACAACGTCTGCCCCACCGATACCGAATACGCTAACGGGCTTTGTTGCCGGACCGGAAGTAAGTTATCAGGCTGGGAACCACATAAGCAGATTCTGGGCTTCCGCTTAGCTTTTCCAGAGTTTATGAGGTACATCCGCCCACCACTAGCCTTTCCTAGGCCCGGCGGTACGCATTTTTTGCTTCACCTCTAGCGACCGACCACCTTTCGAATTGACCGGCCTGTCCAGAATTGCCCTTTATCCGACAGCCGTCCTTTTCTTTTCAAATCCACACAAACGGTATGTGTGCAGCCCCCCACAGAGAGCGTAAAGAGTTTGCGAATCGGCACTCTCAGCTCGGGGCAAATAGATGCCCGCATCCACCCGCTTCGCGCTGGCTTAGCCAGAGAAGCTCGGGGCGGTTTTTCGGAACGCCTCTGCTAGGTTAGCTGATTCGGAGATAAACCTGAGTAAAGCGGCTATGAAGGCAAAAGGGTGCAAAATTAGATGATCGAAAAGTTGCTTGGGATTTTTCACAGAGATTTTTAGGTTCTTGCGCATTATCAGGCTCAGGGTTATGGGGCGAAAAAATTGGGCAAACCAGCAAAGATCTTTGATCACTTAAGTAAAAATATTTTTTGACAATAAAGAGCATTTTTTTTTATTTAATTGCCGTAATTGATAACTTTATTAGAAGCCCATTGAAGTTCGAATTGGTTATCCGTTTTGCGGAGTTATGCGGCCTTTGGCTTTTCCTTTTCCTTCAGCGCCGGCGCCTTTTTCCCGTCGACCTCCATTGTTGTTTGCACATAGAAATACCTAAAATTTAACAGCTATTAAATAAAACTTCATTATTTGTGTTAGTCGAAAATACTATAAATAGGTCGATAGCATTTACTACGATGCAGTTCCCGCAAGGAATATCAGCAAAGAAAGGGCCATCGCAGCGTTTCGGTTTCTTCCTCGAAAATGCGCCTCACGAAGGGATTGGCCGACCTTTAAATTATATCAATTTAGTGAAAAATTGGCATATATATCTTTATTAAATAAGTTGGATGGTATAGGCATTTTCATAAACCGATTTATTACTCTAAAACCCACCTCCGATCCTTAAAAATAGAAATTTGGGGGGAGTACAACCCAAAGGCGTAGGGAACGATTTGGAGGATGCCAAGGATGCGTCTTAAATTTGCAGTGTTATAATTTCAGTATATTTCTTATAAGATACCTAAAATTCCCCTCCGAAATGTTCTTCTCACGCCACATTTTCACCGCCTCAATCCCGTAGAAAGCCTTGCTGGACATTTCGATGAACAAAGCAACGACATTCAGTCCGATCCACACCTAAAAACAGGTATCAGGAGTTTATCTTTAAAGGGGTTGTGGATCGTTTTTAAACTGCGACAAAGCCTATCAAATTGCAGCTTACATAGTTATGATGGTAGAACCCGTGCCAAAGTAGCACAAATCCGAACGACACCAGCACTCCGCAAATCTTGCGCGGCAGCGAAGCTGGGCGCGCAGATTGGGATGAAGATGTAGCGCTTGAAGAATTGGTACAGGCCGCGGTCGAAGGCGCGCCACACCTAAATCAGGTTTTTGAAAGCTATAGTTAGACAGTAATATAGTAAGCGTCGTCTGCCCGCATATCTTTTAAGCGATGAAAAGTCACGTCACTTACCTTTGAATACAAAACAACCCCAACGATGCCAAATTGGGCCGTCGAGCGGTTGCATATTGTCGAGCTTGGCGAATAGGGTGGGGAGGCCGAAGATGACCACATATTTGAGGTGGAAGGACATTCCTAAAAGCTTTGGATTGGGATTCATATTAAGTTTGGGTTTAGTCTTCTTAGGCTTAGAAGCTTAAGCTTAGCTTAGGTTGAGCTTAGGTTTAGCGTAGGCTTAGCCTGGCTTAGCCTGGCTTAGCCTAGGCTTAGACTTGAAGCTCAGGCTTAGAGCTTTCCTAAGTAAACTTTCCTAAAGTTTCCTAACCTAAAAAATTATCGTTAGGCTTCGGTTTAGCCTTGGGCTTCGGCTTTGGCGTTGCCTTAGGCCTAGCTTTGGAGGCTTAATCTTAGGCTTGGCTTATGCTT